TCAATATATATAGCAACTCTGCCTCAAGTTTGGAGTCAATCCGAGGGCAAAAGACAAGGAGTCCTTTGGTGCAAGATATTCAGAAAATTCTTCTAAGTATCCCACCAGATGACAGAACTTATCCTGATCTGGGTTCCAGCTCATGTGGATATGAGTGGCAACAAGCGGCGGACGTGCTTGCGAAATCTGCAGCCAATGACTCCAGTAGACTGGAAAACGCAGTAAGTGTTCCGCAGTCTTATTTTAAAAAAATCACGCTCAATAGCCTTTTTCAAGAATGGCAGAAAAGATGGGAAAGGGAAAGCACAGGGAGGAGAACTTACAAATTCTTTCCGAAAGTTCCATGCTCATTTAATACATACAGCGGAGCACAAACTCAATTCTATACTGGCCATGGTCCCTTCCCACATTATCTTAAGATATTCGGCAAACGAGCATCAGAATTGTGTGAATGTGGTGCGGTAGGTAATGCAGATCACTTCATCTTCAACTACACACAAACCGATAAACTGCATTTAAAAATGCCATGCAGTGAATACTGGCCGCAATGGGTGGAGAATATCTGCGGCAACAAGCAGACGAAAACTAAAATAGAGGAGGTGATCAGGCTATGCTCAGCAAGGTACTAAGAAATTCTCCCCCTCCCTTGAGAATTGTATCTTCGCAGCATCATTTTAATAGCAATTCAAAATACTACAACAACTGAAAATCAACACTAGAAAAATAGCTCACCCCGTGAATAGTAACAGGACTGTAAGAGCAAAACTATTGTAGTGTAAGCAAATTACTATCCAGTTTGTATGTACGTGATAAAAATAATATTGTAAAGCAGTTTAAATGATATTGAAAATCCAGTCAATGTGTAAATGAATTACAAGTTTACTTTGATTATCTTAGTAAATGTATTGTAAATATGAATTCAGATAACGTTTAAATGTACACATAACTGTCATGATTTTATGTAACTATCACATGTAATTTGTACATGACAATGTTTGTAATTAACATATCTATGCCTATGCAGAGGCCTTGTATGCCCATGTAATATTTATATTTATATTTTAACACGGAGGAAATAATCCCATCTGCCAGGATGACTATTAACACTGTAAGACTTTTACAACAAAGTCAGGTCAGTGGTTACTCAGGCGGCGCTCAGTTCAGTCTAAACTTTTCAGCGATTTCAGCGATACGATATCGTATTTTTATACGATGGCATTAAACGACGGTTCTTCTGATAATTTAGTAGAATCTTTTTTAAATGGCATAGAAGAATTATTTCAACTGAATAGAATTACGAGCAATGTTCATAAGATTATATTTACAAAAAAATATTTATCGGGCTCGCTAAAACATTTGCAATGTCAATATCGCCAAATCCCGATTGTATCGTATACTAGGATTAAACCCAGCATTTTTAAATGCATGGAGATGGACAAAAGCGTAATAAACAGTTTATCAGATCTTTTATAGCTAATGAATTTCGTATTTTTGTTCACAGTTTCTCTAATTTTGATGTCAACATTTATTAGTAATTTATCAAAGCCATTGAAATAAAGTTAGATGAAATAAAGTAATTTTTTTAATTTAAATTAAATTTAATTTAATTCTTTCCATTTAAAGCGTTAATATTTCTTTCTCCTTTTCCATTAATTTTCCGTCAGATATTTTGGACAGCCGTTAAATATGCATGGATATGCAACGTCTTTTAACATTTTGCGTTTTCTCGGAATTCTTAAAATCGCCCCCATTTATAATCGTGAATACATCTTCACGCACAATCATATCTTATGCGGTAAAAATGTTTCATATTATGTCAGCATATTAATTCAAATAAATTCGTCCTTACTTCAAAAATAATAAATAAAGTCATATTTCAGCAGTAAAATAATTGCTAACATGTGATTTGCATTGATTTCGGAAATATGATTTTTTTTTAAATATATAAAATGCATAATTTAATAACTTACTTTATAGATTAGTTTCATTTTTAAATATTTTTTGCTAAAATATTATATAAAAATTTTAAGTATTAATTACTTAAAAAATTTAACAATAATTTAGCACGTATTTTTAGCACCAATTAAATTTAATAATTCTAGTATTTATATTAAATTTATATTTCATTAGATGAATCTACCTTAGATTAATATAGTTAGATGAAATAAAGTAATGAAACATTTTCAAAATAAATCTTATGCGGACTTCAGATTCTTGAAAGGGCAGATTTAGTCTCTTTTCACTCTAGAAGTAACGCTGAAGAACTATGAAAAAGATGCTAAAACGGCCACGTCTAAAAGCGGTCATATCATGACGTTTCAGCGATGTCGACAAATTGCCAAGATGCAACGGCAAATATTTTGCGTTTTCGCAACGTTGTAAAGACGTCGTAAAAGTTACGACGACCACTTTGCAACCTCTTGGACCAGTTTGCAACGTCGTTACGACGTTGCCGTGCTACTTGGGATACAAAACTTCAAAATAACAAGCGGAAAAAATCATTTACAATTTATGTAAGGAACTCGTGATTCATGATTGATAATGTACTTCAATAACGTACAATAAAAGATAGAATTCTGTTGAAGGAAATATATTGCTATATAATAAAAAGTAGAAGTGCCTCTTATCTATGTTGACAGTTTTTAGTATAAAAATATAGCTTCATAATAATAAAGAAGCCAATCTTTCTGGTAATGAAGTACGCAGACACTTTGATCGTCTAAGATCATTGAAGGGGGAAAATAAGAAACCCAGAAAAATAAATAAATAAAACAGTGTCTATAAAACAAAACATTTCTAATTTTTTCTTTTTTAAATTTTTTATTTATCTAATTGAATCGTTGGAATAACCAAACATTTCTGTAGGTCTAGTCATGATGTACTATGAAAACGTTTGAAACAAACTCGGAAGTCAAGATGAAAATTTAGATTAGGTCCTGCAGTTAAGCTGTTGAATGTTTCATGAATGAGGAAAATCTGAGTTTCTTTAACCGACCAGATACAGACTTCGAATATGGGACTTGATGTCACGTGTTCTGTAAATGAAAAGTTGAATTTTGCGTTCATTATAATTCAAAGTCTTTAAGGTTTGCAGTATGAAGTTTGTCCATACATTTCAAAATTGTTTTATTAAAATGACATTAAAATACATAACTGATACATGTTTCATTATTATTAACATCATCAAGTAGGACGGAAAAGTTTGAAATATGAAAATGAATTTTTATTAATTCCCTGTTGAGCATTATAATCTGGAATAATTAAGCACATCTCATTGTGTATAAGATTAGAAGAATGAAAACTAATTTATGATGTGACTCCGGCTTCAGACCTTAATGGTCTTTAAAGTTATTTTGTGAGTTATGATTTATCCACCTATGTAAAAAGATGTGATTTGTCTATGTATGTAGATGGATAAATTATATTCCGAGAGTGCTTCAAACATTGTCTTTAAAATCTGAGATCATCTGAATGCTTTACTTTCTTTACTAGTCCATATAGACAGCTCTCTGCAGAACAAGTGTGTTCACTTTAATAACTTGCAATCAGGATCCTTGTTTACAAAAATTAAGGAAGCATATGGTCCTGGAATTTCAATTTTGGAATTTCTGAAATACCGTTAAGAATTTTTTTGTCTTTTTTTAAACGTTCGTTTCACTTTTCAAATTGTTGCCACCAAATATTATCACCCTGTGTTATGTTTAAAGAAATTAAATGATGAAGAATCCGCACAAATGTATACATATTTTTCGTATTGTGATAAAACAACGGTACCTAGAGCCATCAAATTTTGAATAATGCAATCCTTTACCAAATATAGGCATTTGGAAGCCCTAATTTGGAATTTGTCTTATTATCGATTTCATATTTTAAAACACTTTAACGAATTTTTGATTAAAAAAACTCAACGATTTCAAAGCGAGTAATGGCAACATAGTACGGAAAAAATTATCTCCAGCGCGGGAAACTATGTATTAGAAATTCTCTTTAAATTCTTTTGCGTACTACCGTTGAACTGAATTTTATGGTTTAAGTGCAAAGAACATGATATTTAATGAATAAAGGGGTAACACACAAAGCGCTAAAAAACGCCGCTTTGGGCGTAATATAAAATCTGAATATTTCAGATTTTTTTAAATATAGTTTTGTTTTCGTTACTAATCTTTTTACAGAAGGTCTCTATTAGTCGACGATTTTTCTATTGAGTTGTAACTTCAGCGCCACTGCAGCACTAACTGAAAAAATTATGTACCGAACTTCTTTTCCCAAGCTAACAAAGTTGTTACACTGTTGTTGATGCCAGTCTTCGATTATGCGTTATACTGTCTTTATTTTTTGAATCATACTCTACACTACGATTCTTCTTTCTTCTTTACCCAGCATTTTCAGTTTCAACCACAAATGATTTGAATAGCCCTTCCTATTCTTTAGCAATAGCTTGTGGAAGACTCGGAGGAATTTTTTACGGCAACCTTTTTCATTTCTTCTCCATTTCCTGTTTCTACTGCTTTAGTAATCTCAATATTTTCACTCTTCACTTAGTTTTACAGTCCGCAGAGATTATAATACTTTTCGAAGCAGGAAACATGAAAATTCAACAATGCCCTCTCTGAAATTCGAACTACGGATTTACTATTACGGATTGCTAGCTGCACGATACCCAGTCAATCAAATGCAGGAATGAATCTATTACGTTTTAGTTACATATTACCCTATTACATTACATATTACCCTATTACATTACATATTACCCTATTACATTTTAGTTCGGTGCCACTGTAGAGATTAATAAGTTTTGATGGAGAGAAAAACATGAAAACTCTAGTCTTCTTTCACTATGATTCGAGTCCCGGATTTTACAATTACCAATAATTTACAATACTTTAATAACCAGTCGGAACATAAGAGCATGCACGATGAAATGTGATAATTCTTTAAATGTCATTCTTAAAAAACTGTAGCAGTTGTATTAATTTTTTCTCACTTATCATTTCAGCTTACCTTGTCAACTTCCTATTCTGGCCAGCATGTCGAAGAGAGAAGGTACATTTTTGGACAGTACAAGCAATGGCTGTATTCGATAGCACTGGGTGCATTGAAAGCCCAATAGGCACAAATGAAAATAATCATTCTTGAATGCTAAAATTCATCGCAACAGATTCAACAGTATTTTTATTTCTCTCCCATTCAAAAGACTCAATTGACTCTTCCATGCAGGAATGTAAGATGGAACACATTCAACAATCTTAGTTTCCTGAACTAGATATGTGTACTTCAAAGCGTACTTAGCGATGCTACCACTGGTGGTGCAAGTACATGACTTACGTTAGGTATTTAAAGTGAAATGAACTTAAATTTTTCATCAACTTCTGCAGTGGTATGCATTTTTTTATCTTCTTTCAGAACTTTCCTTGAAGGGATTTAAAATGAACGAAATATCATCACAGTTCAAATCCATCAATGGATGATGAAAAGCATCTTCAAATGGGCCGTCTTTTTAAAAAATAAATATTAATAATTTTTTTACACTTTTTGTGACACATTTGCCTATTTTCTAGTGTTTTGAGTTGATCACTTTTCACGTCTTCTGGTAACTTTTAACTTATTTAAGTTGGAAAATTGGTCACCATATTCTGTCGCTATTCTAAAGCTCTCAGTCTACTCGATTAAGCTGAAAAGTGACAGAATCAGTAAAAACGTTTCAGGTGTTTCAGAACCAATCTCTACAAATTTATCCACATTGTTTAAAACATTTGTTAAATATTCTTACATCATCTAGTTAGCATATTTCATTTTAGAAATTAACTGCTCTTTGAGAATAACTTTTGTTATTGGATTTTTGGTTAATGTACCTTACGTAATTTATTCAAGTTTTGTCTGAAGATTTTCATATTTTAAGTGCAGTACCTGTGATAGTTTTATTCTGATAGCAATTGTTGCTGAAGCTGTTTGATCTTTTTGAATTCATTTATCAATTTCTAGTCTATTATGTTCAGTAATTTGAGTTTTTACCGACTGTCCACTATCGACTTCCAAAGATCGATCTGAAATAAAATCACTTTTCCTTGAAAATGTTGTGTTTAGATATTAGTTTTATTCAGTCTTTCGATTTGTAAGTTAGGATTCATTTTGCTATGCCTAAAGTTTCTTATTCTTAAGCTTCCTTCTCCTAAGCTTGCGTGCTCCTAAGCCAAATTTTTGTTACTCCTAAGCTTTCAGTGAAGCTAAGAAATTATTAATTTTGCCTGCCTTGCTTTTCCCTAAAGATATTCACTTACCTTGGAACGGGACCTCTTTTTGTACTGTTAGCCCTTAACTCTGTTAGAGAAAAATAAAACGGGCTGTCTATGACTTTACACAACCCATAAAATAAGAGTGTAGAGGCAGGTATATGAGGTTAATGAGCATAAGTAGTTATTGGCTTCATTACTTAAGTCAATCATTGGTGCTTGAACTTTGTAAAAATCTTTGTTTTTTTGCACAGGAACTTGGCAACAATGCTGCCATTCCGCTTCCTCCGCTTCCTCCTGTTTATAAAGGGTGCAGTAACCAGACATATTTTAGCACCCAGACGATCTGGTAGCTAGGGCTAATCAGCACAGAAGCCTTACATTCATTATGGGTTATCACATCAAAAGACGCTTGAGGTTAGAAGAAACTTTTCCGAGAATCGAGCTTGTCTTGTCTCCTACCAAAGCAGAATTCTTAACCGAAACATGTTCCAATGGAGCTTATGTCCAAGCTAGCTAAACAAAACTTTTGAAACTAAACTGAAAATTTCTCTTGAAGCTTTGTCCTTCATACTATTTCTCCAAAGAAATGGTTTTCGCATAAGTCAAACAATCAGATATCCCGAAAACAAAATTCTGGGAAACGTTTCTTTCGCCATTGCTGTTGAGGGTATCTTGTAAATGTGATTCCAGTTTTACAGGAACCGAATACATTGAAGTGTAGAGCAAGGACGTCGTACGCACCATAGAATCAGGAAGAAGAGCAAGGACATATTTAGCTCACTGGTACTCCTGTTTATATAGTAGAGCTTCGTGACAACATTTTTCAGCGCCGCAGCAAATAGTAATGCAAGTTTATAACATACGCTAATATAAATATGATATTTTAGCGTAAAATGATACATGTTTCTAAAGAAAAAAACAGTGAAAGTAGGTTGATATCTTAGGAATATTATCAAGAATATGCAAAAGATCTCCCTGACCACTTCTCAAAAATACTGTTCGAATGATAAACTAGCAGGCTATTGAGATTGTGCATTATCCAGGTAAGAAAATAAGAATGGTACTGTTTTATTATGTTCCATCACTGAACTTAAATTCACTTTTCAATTAGTTGTTGCTTTATCATCCCCCAAATGTACGTTGTAACTTATTTTTTTCAACTTTGAAAATACTGAACATGACCCCTTATGGATAAGCGGCCTATTATTAGTTCACTTACTCTATTTTAAATTTAATTGGGTTTCTATCTATATGTATTCGATCTATAATTGTAACTGTGTCGAAATTACATACTAAGTATCACGTTATTCTGAGCAAGATTATTTTACCAAGCTCTTGAGACATGACTCTATTGCAAATGCCATTTTCCATGATGGTTGCTGAGCTATTAAGAGAGGTGTACGTATATGTTTTCTTCCCATGGCAAACGCTAAATGTATCTACTGTCAAGAACATAACAATTTACTAAAGTGCGCAAAATTCTTTCATCTAGACGTGCAAAGGAAAATTGAATATGTGACAGGTAATAATTTGTGTTTCAATTGTCTTTCAAACATGCATAAGGTTAAAAATTGTAAAAGTGTACGTAAGTGTAAACATTGTGGAAAAACCTCATGAAAGCGTAAATACATATAGAGAAGTTAAACAGACCAGAATACAAATATTTTCCTTTGATACAAGCTAACCCATTTATTGCTAAAAGTCATGAGCGGTCAGATCCAAATGCAGAGTTGAAACAATCATTTAAATCCACCGTGGTCTATACAAGCGCTTCGAACATTAAGCATAGTCAGATTTTACTTTGTTCGGCAGTGATTTAAGTTCAGAATGCAAAGCGAGGGTCAGTAAAATGCAAATGTTTGTTGGAGGTCAAAGGTCATTATTACTAGAGTGTGAACAGAAAGATTGGGTTCGAAGGTGAAAGATAGTTCAATTTTATTTTCATGTCTAGGTACTTTTAGCACTGTGAGTAAAGAAGAAGTTGATTTATGTTTACTCCTCATTATAATAGTGGCTTTAAAATTTCAACTTTTGTATTTGTTATAGAAAATATTAGTGACAATCTCCCTTTTCTGCCTTTACCTGAAGACATTGGTAATAATTTTAGTGATTTAGTTTTAGTTGATCCGTCATTTTTATAAATCAAACAGAGCCGACATTTTATCAGGGGTAAATGTGTTTTTAACTTTAATAAATTAAAATACTATTACCAAGCGTGGTCAAAATTTGCCTTTTGCCGTGAGTTCAAAACTAGGTTGGATTATTATAGAAGCAACAGCGTATGAGATCCCTAAACAGAGTAATCCAGTATCAGTAAACCACGTAAGGGTAAATACCGAAAATGCTGAAGCAGTTAAGTCATTTTGGAAATTAGAGAATATCCCAGAGTCGCAGCCTCTCATAACAGAAGAAAGGTTATGTGAGGTTCATTTTCAAAATTAGCATACTCGTGATGAATTTGGAAGATACACAGTTAAACTTCTTTTCAAACCTAATAGGAAACTTATGGGTAACTCAAATGGAATGGCTTTTCAATTTCTTTATCTGGAGAAAAGACTTCCTTCAATGTCAGAAATTTATAATCTGTACAGGAAGTTTATGCAAGAATACGTATTGTTGGGTCATACAGAATCAATTTCGTCAGTATATCGTAAAATGAAAGTTTCTATTTACCTTATTATTTTGTTTTAAATGAATCAAGCTTAACGGCAAAACTGAGAGTATTGCTCAATGCAAGAGCAAAGTCATATTCAGGTGTTTCGTTTAATGATACCTTAATCGTTAGTCCAAAAACCCAAGACGATTTGATTAATATTCTTTTGAGATTCAGGTGTCATCGTATTGCAATAACTGCTGACATTGAGAAAATGTAGACACAAGTAAAAGCCTAAGGATAGAAAATCTCAAAGAATATATTGGAGAGATAATTCGAAGCAGCATGTGCAAAATTTTCTGTTGAACACTGTGACATAGGGAACTGTTTCTGTGCCATACTTAGCGACAAGAGCATTAAAGTAATTGGCAATTGATGAAAGTGAAAATTTCCCAAAATTCGCCAGCATAGTGTTAAGGGATTTTTATGGGGATGATGTGTTGCCAGGTGCTGATAATGTTCAAAGGGTTCTGAGCTAGAATTTAAAATGAGCCAAATGCTTAGAAAAGGTGTATTCAAACTCCACAAGTAGTCTACCAACGAAAGGTTAGTGTTAGAAAACGCAAACATCAACTAAGGATAAACCTCACATGATTGTGAAAAATAAGGCTATAAAAGTTCTTGGCCTGCAATGGGATTCTAATTAAGCTGAATTTCTCTGCAATTTTGTGATGTTTAATTGTAAAAAAATTCAAACAAAACGAATTATATTATCCTCAATGTTATTAATGTATAATGTATATGGCTATAAGTTGCGTAATGCGCATTGGTATTGCTCTCCAAAATGTCTGTAGTTTAGGTACTTGTTTTTTATCGTGTGGTTTAAATCGAGTGCACTATTAATGTATAGTGTATTAATATATCGAATGCACCTTTTATGTTATCTGCGTATTAATGTATTGTATGCATGTAATATTAATGTATAATATACTATATAGCTATAGGTTATACAATGCGCATTGATACCGCTCTGCAATGTCTGTAGAGTTCAGAAAAATTTATTATTATACGTATTAATTTATCGTCTCTGCGTCGACTATTATAATAGGGCATTATTAATGTATAACGTAATACGATGTACTGCTATTGTGGTAATTCAACATAGTAACAGCTATTTTTGATGTAAGCATCTTTATATTGCATAATAAGCAATGTTATTGTAGGAATTCGCAATACCCCTGTTTTCTTCCATATGCGCCTGTTTGAAATATTCTTTTTTTCTGGACAGTTGCGGGATTCGGACGATACCCGAATAGTCAGTGAAAGCCGCCCGGGTGTCTGGACCCTTCTCTCTCCTGTCACCTATCCTCAATAGCAAAATTGTTCGATCTTTTGCGTTGGATTTAACCTTTTTGACATATCAACGAAAATTCTTCTTCAAGAACTTTGAAAATTTAAACTTGCCTGAGATGGTCCAGTTCTGGAAGAGATTGAGGAAAACTGGAGTACTATGTGTAAAGAAATTCAATAATTAAATTTAATTCGCATTCTAAGAAATGTTCTGATACCTGAACTTTTAAAAAATTCAACTGTAGTTTCTGCGATGCGTCGGAGAATGGTTATGGTGCAGTTATTTATGTTAGGTCATCTTTCACTCAACTGTTCATATAAATCTGTTGATAGCAAAAACTTGCGTTGCTCCATTTAACCAATTTCGACTCCACGATTGGAACTCTATACTGCTGCTGTGTTAACTCTCTTAATGCAAGCAGTTAGAACTGCGTTAAAAGTGGAAGTTAATTTTATGCATGCATGAAGTGACTCAAGTACTGTATTATATTGGCTAATGTATGAACTTAACAGTTGGCAGTCGTTTGTAGCACACAGGGTATCAGAGATTCAGGTTATTATTTTAGCGGAAAATTGAAAGCACATTCAAGGAAAGGAGAACCCAGCTGACTGTGTGGCACGGGAACTTTATTCGAGTGATTTGTTAGTTGTGCATAAACTGTAGTTGGAATGGCCCATAGTGGTTAAAGTCAAGAGAAATTCCATTTTTCAAAAACCCCAAATTGTGAGGAAGTTTTGAAAGGAAAATGGAAGCACTCTTCATGTGCGGTTGGAGTAGACACAGAAGAGTTACCAGTGATTTAACAGATCTCATCTCTCGTGAAATTGCAAAGAGTGATCTCATGGTGTCTGAGATTTATCAACAATGCCAAACTGCCATTGACGAGAAGAAATTTAGGATTCCGAACTATCATAAGGTTGGAATACAGCATATCATGTTGTGTTAGACAAGTTCAAGCGATAAGTTTTTCTTATGAGCTTAAAAGCATTAAAGCAGAAAAAACACTACCTACAAATTCTCGCATTCTTAATTTATACCCTTTTCTAGATAACTATGGTGTTTTGAGAGTTGATGGTAGGTTATAAAATACAAACTTAAATTTCTGTCGGAAGCATCCAGATATGTTACTGGATAAAGATATTCTAACGAAATTAACGAAATACGTTGTGCAGTATTTCCATAAAAAGTATTTGCATGCTGGAGCTCAACCATTGCTTTATCATATCAGCAAGTCTTTTAGCCAGTAAATGGTAAAACACTATGTAGAAAGGTTGTGGGCGAATGTATTTCTTGTTTTCAAAGCCAAACCAATTGACACAAGTCAACTTTTAATTAACTTACCTTGAGACTGAGGGAATCAAATCTGTACAGGTACTGATTTTTGCGGTTCTTTCTTTATCAGATACAAACATCTGAGGAAAGGTGTTTATAGTAAAATTTACTTTTATATTTTCATATGCTTCATAACTCGTGTAATACATTTAGAACTAGTTACAGATCTTACACCTGAATTGCTTATTACTACCTAACGAAGATTCTTTTCTAGACGTGGTAAAAGTAGCAAACTATTTAGTCATAATAGTTAATGGAGCTGACAATGAAATAAAGAGGCTTATGTTTTATATTATTAAAACACCAGGTGACATATCAATGGGGTATCTAGCTACAGTAGGTATTGGATGGAATTTTATTACTCTCCGATCCCCCAATTTTGGAGGACTGTATGAAACTTCTTTCAAATACCATTTAAAGCGTTGCACAGGTAAAGCAAAATTAACTTGTTTAGAAGAGTTTCTAACAGTAACAAATCAGAACAGCCGTTCTATTCTCCTCTGTCAACAGATTTAAATGATCTTGAAGTGTTAACACTTGCTCAGTTTTTAATAAGTCGTTCAAACAGACATTCCTGAGAAAGATTTTAGTACTTACCGCATAATAGACTTTCCCACTAGCAACGTGTAACAAAAGTGACTCAACTCATTTGGAAAAGTGGTCACATACATACTTAAACAACTTTACTTACAAAGGAGTAAGTGGATGCTCTCTAAGAATAATGTGAAAATATGGATAGAAAATATGGATAGATAACATGCCAGAGTGTAGTTGGTTACTGGGAAGAGTGATAGATGTCTTTCCAGGAGGTGACAACAAAATACGAGTAGCAAATGTGAAGACAAAATATGGCATATTTAAACGAAGTGTTTCAAAGATTTGCATTTTGGTATTTAAGAATAATCCTGGAACACCGCAGCTATAACTGTTGAACCTTTTATCTTTACGTGAAGTTTTAACTGTGTTATGATTTATTAAACTAATTGAATTTCTTTTTTTTATTGAACCCAGTAGGTTCAAGGGGTAGTAATGTCGCCTCACAATCAATGAAGTCAGAAGTGTTCCTATTACATACGTTCCAAAGCAGCACTGAAGTCCGGGTGGCGGGCAAAGCTTGCAGTGAAGGAGAGTGAGCGAGAGGCCGCCAAATATATCACCTGTTTGAAACACTGAGTGACCTGCATTTCACAATGTGGTAAGTAGCTGTTACGAGGAGCATAAAGTTGGAGGAAAAACCCTGTGTAACCTAGAATCTTCTGGAAGAAATAAAAGGATTACAGTTCATCTCAACCTAGTGTAGCTTCACTTTTTTCGAACCAGCACAAAAAAAAGTCCCCGATTTTAAGGGTTGCTTTTCACACTGTACAATTTGAAAAAAAAAAAAAAAAAAAAAAAAAAAAAAAAAAAATGTATATACTTTTCGGTACATATATTCTTTAAAAAGCAACTTCTCTTAAACTTCGAGAATACATTCACCAGTATGTTCATCAGGAATTCACCAGAATTGTTCTGACACTTACATTAAGACCAGTTTAATTTTTAAAATTTTGGGTGAACAAAAGTCGTAACACATTTTTTGCTCTCTTAAATTTGTTTCATAAGGTCTACTTTGAGCCATATATTTTGCATATATTATTGTAAAAAATTTCTTTGAGAATATCCAGCCGATTTGTTAAGTTTTTCTGATTGATAAGCCATTGGATGCATAATTAAAATAACTGTAGCTCGGTGTTATGGCAATGTTTTCTTCCGACCATATTTTCCCCCTGTAAAATTCACATAAGAAAAACAATCATTTGGTGAGAAATTGGCGAAGTTGAAGAGAAAGAAGGATGCATTTTATAAATCCCTTATTGTTTTAAAGAAAGATGTAAACGAAAGTTCCTTTTTACAATATCTTTTTTCAGTCCAAAGTGGGAATTTGCCCAGAAGGGCTATTAATTTCGTTTTGGCATTTTGCGTCGGTTCACTTATAAGGTATTTCTCCCGCCTTCTTCGCACCTGCATGCTGGGCGCGTATTCGAGAGGTCCGCGGTTCGATTCCCAGAGAAGGCATTGCATATTTTTCATCTTTCCTGCTTCCAAAATACTTAATGTTTCTACAGTGGGGCCCGAACTAAAAGGAGGGTGGATGATGACTTTCTACACCCAGGATTTGACGACTGAGTCCCCTAAAACCCCAGTCGATCTTTAAAAGGGGGAGTTAATAAGGTATTTCTCCCGCCTTCTTCGCATGCCTTCGTGATGTGGTGGTCTGCACGCTGGGCGCGTATTCCAGAGGTCCGTGGTTCGATTATCGGCAAGGGTGTTGCATATTTTTCATCTTTTCTGCTTCCAAAATACCTAATGTCTCTACACACTTTCCAAACTGTTGCCACCGAATATTAGAGCTCTGTATTATATTTAAAGAAATTAAATAAGGAAGAATCCGCATAAATGTGTGTATGTTTTCACATTGTAATAAAACAACGGTACCTAGAGCCATCAAAATTTGAATAACGTAACTTTCCATAGAATATGGCCATGTGGAAGCCCTAATTTGAATTTCAAATTTGTTTTATTATCGATTTATATTTTGTAAAACTTCAACGAAATTTTGATTAAAAGGCTAAAGAATTTCAAAGCGAGCAATGGCAACACTGTACGGAAAAAAAAAAAAAGAAAGCATTTTTATCTCCAGTTCGCGAGACTCTGTATCGGAAATTCTACAGATATGCTCATTTTAAAATTATTTGGTGATATTGCTGTTGAACTGGCTTTTATGGTTTGAACACGTAGAATATGATGTTTAATAAATAAAGGTAACACACAAAACGTTAAAAATGGCCCATTTGGACGTAATTTAAAATCTAAAACCTTTCAAAATTTTGTTTTATTTATTTTTAAAGTTTTAAGGATATGCTTAGATAAAAAGGTCTAACTTAATTCGAAATGACATAAACGACTAGAGGTAAATGGAACAAACGATAATTTTCATTGAAAATTTTTCTTTTCTCGATTTACTTATGTTAATTTTAATTTTAAAGTTGACTTTTCAAAATTACATCTATTACATGAATATGAATTACAAACTTTCGATGACTAGATATTTTTCTTCTTCAGCGTAAAGTAGGTACTATTTATTTGGTTGAGTATTTAAAAATAAACACATTTGTTTACAGGTTAATGGAAAATATCTGTCTTTCTACCATTCAGTATAAAGTATGGACTAACCTTTTACTCTTCACCTTCCTAGTTTCCTTCTCCTAGAATACTTACTTATCTTACTTTTATTTCCGCTTATACGGTGTTTATGTCAATAAATATATGGCAATAGTAGTAATTTTTACAGTTGTGTAAAGATAGGCCCTTCTTGACAGGGATTATTTGAATATACTGAAACATGCTGAGAGGAGAAAATTTTTCGTTTAAGACAGAGGACCTCTACAAATGACAAACGAAAAAAAATGTGCAATCCAAAAATACAAAACGTTGTCCTGAAGATAAATTGCTTAGATGCTGACACTGAAAACTGAATTAGAGTATATGATTTACTCCTTGAGCCACCCCTCAGTGGCGGAAGGGAAAAAAAAATCTCTCAGAGGAAGACATTCCCCACTCTCTTTCAGATATTTTTTTTTTCATTTAAAAAGAAGGGGAAGGAGGACCAAAAGATAAAACCAAACCCTCGCCTTTACTTCTCCTTCTTCATTAATGGAAAAAGTTAGAAAGTTATTGACAAGGTCGTGACGAATTATATTGCTTCTTTGTCGTCCCCACAATAGCGAAGCCTAGTATCTTTGACGATGATAATAACTGAAGCTAGTAACGAAACCTCGTGATATTTCTGCATGATAGAATTCGGACTTACCTCTTTTCTTTACCCCCCTCTCTACGCTCCTTATCTCTTCTAACGGCAGTCTGCTTATCGAGTAAATTGAAAGGGGAAAATCAGAAAAGAGGAAAATTTTATAATCCTTATATTCTTTTTTCTTTGTTTTGTTTTTTTAAACTTTTCTATTTCCTCAGTTTTGCTGTGAGCCTAAGTTTTTATATATTTCATCAGCGCTTCGTCTCTATCTGAAAGGGCAATGGCATCCTTTCTTTTCAGCTGAGTTTTTATATTTGTGTTTCCGAAGTTTTTATACTTCTGTTTTTTAACCTATGACTTACATCGCTCTTTGGTATCTGATTTTTTTTCCTTCAGCTCCTTTTATTTTTAAAAACAGTGTTTCTCTTCTCTAGAACCGAATGAAACTAATTCTTTTCTCCAGTCTAGCGAAAAATCTTGAAAAGCCATACATGTTCGTTGTAAAGAAGAACATGTCACGGTTTATTAAAATCAGTGCCACGAAAACCGATGTAGACCTTTAAGTTATTGATATTTAACAATAATTGTATGCCTTGTTTGATATTAACCACCTCTCCAAGGATCTGATATTATCAGAACTAATTATCACTAACACTTTTCAAAAATCTTCAAAAATGTTGTAATAACCTCAGGCCAAAAATATTGAAAACATTTCAAACAAGTACAGCATTTTATTATTTTTAAATATTTTAAGTTTAAAAATTAAATATTTTTTTCTTTCGATCTATCAAGTTTTCAAATTTCGTAATGCAGCAGGCTCTAAATTAAATTATACGTTACGCAAAAGGCAACCTTCTCTCCCTTAAAAAGCATAAATAGTCATAAAGGAGAATAATTTAAGTCAAAACTATCTTTGAATTTAGTATATATTATTGGAATAGAATAGGTAATAAAGAATGGTAACTTAAAATTCAAATGACCCCTAAATCTCAAAATTTTACCTTATGATTTTACTATCTTATTACTTTTTAAAACACTGTAAAATTGAATAGTATTGCTAAAGTAAACACTTGAAAGTAAAATTGAATAGTATTGCTAAAGTAAACACTTGAAAGTAAAATTGAATAGTATTGCTAAAGTAAACACTTGAAAGTAAAATTGAATAGTATTGCTAAAGTAAACACTTAAAATTGAATAGCAATACTATTCAATTTTACTTTCATTATATAAATTAATTATACATTCAACTTTCATGTTCATTGAAGTAAGAATGAGAAATATATCAGTGAGTTGTATGTTAGTTACAAATATTTCAAGAAACGTTTCTACTATTTTCGCGAAAGTCTAATGACGTCATCCAACATTTGAACGAATACTCTTTTGACAGAGTTGTTAATCTTGTTTATCAGTAGATTCTTAGAAGAATAATTCGGCTGTCAAGTTCTTGAGATTTAGCGCAGATTACCATTTCAATCCAAAGACTCTACAGTACTTATGGCACAAAATAGAAACTACGTAGAACCTGCAACCTCTCTGCCCGCACAAGATCGACAAGAACAAGTTTCGATTCTATGCTAATATTCGTTACATGCCATGTCGCTCCTACGCAGAGTCTCTTCTATGTGGCATTGGTTCCAAGAATGTAATCCACCTAAACACAGTTATCATAAAGAGATCATAAAGTTAGCTGCCGAAACCAAGTATTGGAGAATATGCACGTGTGGTTTGAGACTTAGAAAAGTGGAAAAAGTTCGAAAACTCATAAATGTGATTTCATGAAATGCAAAGAATCAGAAAATGAATAGTGAATGATTTAGAAGAAATCATTTTAAAATATCATAAAATTCTGATTTGTAAATGCGCATTGTTTTATATCATCTTTTTATTATGCCCATCCGTATATACTTCTCATTTATTTAAATAAATTATAAGCTTTAAGTTATTTTACTACTGAAAACTGCGACTAAACCTTAGACAGACGTATAGTGAATTATCACTTAGTCTAGGAGTGTAAAAACAGAAAATTTCGACAGGTGTGAAAGACCCTTTTATTTTAAACTCAAGACACTCCTTGTGCTTGCAAACTCTGGCAGTAGCAGTGGCGAGGAACTCAAAGTAGAAATTGAAGTGTAAAGCTAAATTTACATATTTTAATAGCCTAAGGCTACACAGAGTAATTTAAACTCGAAGTTGATTCGAAAAACAACCCTGAAGACAGGAGCACTTTATCTAGAATTACAAACCTAGTAACCTGGCCTTCAAACGGTAGAACATGTTCTGATTTAACAATCTCAAATCCTTACTTAAATGCACGAGAGCTAATTTGCATTTTAGTGGGAAAACGGAAAGATAGAAGTGAGAGTAAAGGTTCAAAACATAAAATAACTGTTATGTAAATTTAATAACTTCATATCTTCCCAGCCAGAATTTAAATAATCGCAACGAAATTTAAATTCTGCTCGTTCTTGAGTATGGCCTCTACTTCTTCTGCAACTCCTTT